AATAAAAATAAAAAAATAAAAAATACGTATTTCATATTACTCAAGTCAACTTCTTAAGATATATTATTTCAAATTATGAACTTATGATGGATCTTTAAAAAGTTTAAATTATTATAAAGTTGAAGATTTCAAAAATAATAAGAGATATTTAATGCTTTTTGAGATTTGATAACTACTCTTGAATCTTCATCAAGGATTTCTCTCAAATTTTAGCTCCATTTACAAGTTAAACTTGCAAAGACAAACTTCAATAGAATCAAGAAGCAAAAGTAGCATTTGAAGCTTTTAAGACAATCTTTGTTTTTGCACCAATCTTATATTGTGTCAACTTCTTCAAATCATTTTTTATGGAAACGGATGCATCAAACTTTGCTTTGAATTTTATATTGTCACAAATGAGAATAGATGATAAACTTTACTTAATATCTTTTTATTCTAAAAATATTTGAGTAACAAAGATTAATTACAAGATTTATGACAAAGAATTTCTTGTAATAGTGAATTTATTTCAAGAATGGTGCCATTACCTAAAAGGTGCTTTTAATGTAGTCATCATATATATATATATGATAAGAATCTTAAGTATTTTATATCAACATGTATTTTGAATTATCAGCAAGCCCGTTGAAGCATATCCTTGTTAAGATTTAAATTCAAGATTATTTATCAAACACAAAAAAAATAAGATTTGTGAGACGTACTTTTTAGACAATCTTATCTTGCATCAAAGGAAGAAAATGTTATTTTTTTATTAATAAAAAATAATTCTCTTGAAGCTACAACATCTTCATATTTGAGAAATAGAATCAATACTAACTGTTGATTCAACTTTCATTAAGTAAGTTTAGTCAAGTATGTCTTCTGATCTTTTTGTTTATGATATTAAGGAAAATTCTTCAAAATCTCACAATACTTTTAAGTTTGAATTCAAGAATAGTCTATTATATTTCGAAGGGCATTTATATATTCCAAAAGTTGAAGCTCAATTACGTATTCTTTCAAACTTATCATGACTTTCTAATAGTAGGATATTTTGGATATAATATGACTTTAGAGCTAATATCTAGGGATTTTTGGTGGCCTAAAATATAGAAGGCAATTAAAGAATTTGTACAATCATATAATGTTTGGTCAAGATTAAAAACTCTTTGTCATTAACCTTACAAAAAATTTCAGCCATTATCTATTCTAAAAGAACCATGGTCTTCTGTTTCTATAGATTTTATCACAGATCTTCTAATCTTAGGCTCTTATGATTCTATATTTATGATAGTAGATCATTTTTCCAAGATGAAAACTTTTGTACCATATATTAAATCCATTATAAGTGAAGAAATAGCTAAGTTTTTTCTTGATAACATCTATTGCTATCATAGATTATCTAAAGATATTATATTAGATAGTAAAACTTAGATTGTATTAAAATTTTAGAAAATAATTTTTAAGTTTTTTAAGGTAGATATAAAATTATCTTTGGCTTTCTATCTCCAAATTGATGGACAAATAGAGTATATAAATCAAGTTTTGGAGCAGTATTTAAGGTATACCATCAATTATCAACAAGTTGATTAAACAATTCTTTTGTCATTGGCAAAATAACTTTGTACATTTTTCTATGTAATAAATATCTTTTTTGTTAATTATGATTATCATCTACAACTTAATGCTTTTAACTTTTCAAAAATTCATAATCTTGCAACAAAAGATTTGACAAATCATTTATCTAAGCTATATACAACAGTAAAGGCATAACTAAAAGAGGCTTAAAAAGAACAAAAGAGTAATATAAATGCCTATCACAAAGAACAATCTCATTTTTACTTTGGTGATAAGATATGATTATTTTGTCATAATATCAAAACTATTTGTCCTTGTAACAAGTTAGATTGCTAAAGACTTCTACCATTTATTATTTATAAATAAGTCAATCTAGTCACTTATTAATTATATCTACCGGAGTCCATAAAAATCCATCTCGTATTTCACATATCTCTTTTAGAGCCATATAAGTTAATGAATATTTTAAGAAGAAGACAAATACCACTTCTTATTCAAATGAATACTAATCAAGAATTTGAGATAGAAGAAGTCTTAAATTTAAAGCAGAGCCAATTAAGGTAGGAATATCTTATTCATTAGGACAGATATGATATAAGCAAATGCACATGGAAGTCAAGAAAAAAACTTACAAATATAGTAATGAAGGTCAAAGCTTTTTATCAATGACATCTATTAAAATTAAGATAAAGAATAGCAAACTTTTATTTTAAAGAAAATATAATTTAGGAAAGATTGTATTCTATCTTCTATTCTTGTTTGTAATTTCTATGTAATTGTGGCATTAAGGAGATGGAAAACCAACAGCCAACAAATTCAACTTAAAAACCATCATTTGTTGACTTATTGGATGAGACATTACAATTATCATAGCCTTCAAGATGATATAATAGGAATGAAGACCTTTAAGAATAATATGTTCTTATGTAAATAAAAGAAGTTGAAAAAATATATTTGTAACTTTAAAAAAGTATTAACTTTGAGGATTGGACCTAGAAATCTATGCTTTGACCTTATAAGTTATCAAAGATCTATCTAAACTACTATTATAGCAAAGTCAAATCTCTTTGTACTAACTATGCAATAGTCATAGAATGTTAAAGTAGGATTTAATCCTTACACCAAAAAAGATGAAGGGAGTGAAGTCTAATAAAGATATTATGCAACAAATATAACCAGTCATTATAAAGGCTCTATGGCAACAATTGGACATTCTTCAACGATGCACAAATTTTTTGGAGTTGAGCAGGTTGAACACCCATAAGCTTGCACATATAATCCAAATAGTACAACTATTCAAGAGTTTTTATCAAATAGAAGACTTACCCTTACTTAATAAGTTTTGAATAGAAACATAGAGAGAAACATTGTATCAAATTATAAACACATTAATCCATTAACTATTAGCAAACAATCCTAAACTTAAATCTGCTTACATGGAGAATGATAACAACATGAATCAATTCTAAAGCACTTGTAAAACATGGGTACTAGGTCCAATATATGGCAAGATCATAAGTACATATAAGTAGATATTTGATCAAAGTAACAAGTTTTTGGATGCCAATCTTCCTTGACTTGATATTATAAATCTAATTGTGCTTAAAGTATAATCTTAGTTTAAAGAATTTGTATTCAATGAAGCACTCTTGCAATTCATAATAATCAACTTAGCATCTATTTCCTATGTATATAGATCAAATATATCACAACTATAGCAAACTGCAACAATTGGTGAATTGGATGTAAGGATCAACGTCAGCTTCAATCAATAGAAATCAATAAAAAATAATATTGACTATATTAGCCTCAAAGAGCCATTAAGCACATTATCAAATAGCATCACCAATTAATTAGTAACATGCATGAATGAGTTAATGAAATTCCTATTATTTCTATCTCCTATCTATCAAAATAATGACCAATACAATAGGCTTAGAATAGCCAATAGGAATAGAAGATGAGAATTCTAATTTAATTTGTTATGCTTCAAGTCGATAATGATTAATTTCTTAAGCTTAATGTATAATTTTTTTACTTTTAGGTGAAACACAGAATAAACACAAAAAAAAAATACAAACAAAAAAAACTTTGGCAATCATATAAGCTATGGCACAAAGGTGAAGAGAAGAACTTGTCAAGATGAAGAAATTCAAAGACATCAAGAAGAACAAGAGGAGGTGCCAATGATTGTAAAAGAAAAGAAGTGACTAATTGTATAAGAAGAAGTACAAGAGCTTGAGCCACAACTTGAATCTACCTCAAGCACCACAATAAGATACAAAGGTGGTGACATGGCAGTAGTGACAGCGAGCACTACAGCAAAGAATGTATCACCATAGCAAAACATCGCCAAGAATTAAAAGAGGTGCAAAGAAGTATTGTATATAGAATATGTCTTTTGTCTTATCATTTCTTAGATGGTGTAAGCTTCTCTATAATTGTGTCTTTAATTTATATATTTTCTTACTTTTTGTTGTATTTGTAGCAATAAAGTTTTAAAATTAAACATGTTCATTATTCCATTTATATGCCTAGCACCAATAGAAATGGTTGTTTAAATAAATAATCTTTTCTCTTATTTCAGTCTATTGAGCAAATCACATGTACACTTAATCTACCTTCAAATATCTTATATCTCAAATATTTGAGTTAAGTTGTCCATGGATGTATGGATTGTTCAATAAATTACACTATAAGAATCATTTGTTTGATTATGTCTTTGGCAAATCCTTTGTACATGGTGATGTCTTTGCTTTTAATAATAGGAAGAATGCCTTCAAATGTTGAAGATTACTATGAGTGGCTTATTTAGCAATGATGTTAATATTTTCTTGTTTTTTCTATAATGGCACACTAACAAATTTGCCATGATCTTTTTGTTTTACTAAACTATGACTTGGATTCATCTTTGATGCTTATATCAAAGAGGCAAGAGAAGGTTGGAAAGCAGCAACAAAATTATCTATCACATTATCAAAATTGTGAATATCATCTCTTTTTTAAGAATTGCATAGAGACTTATGGTGAGGCACAACTTATGGTGAGGCACAAAGATGGTAGATGCAATGGTACAAGCATCCAATCCGTGGTCATGGTGGCAGTGAGAACCACAAGGAATACATTGCTACAGCCATTGTGATAACTAATCAAAATCAAGAATAGATTTGATATTATCACAAAAGTGGGAGGTGTGTTTGCTATTATCAAGAAAACAAGGATATTCTTGGTAATTCAGCAAATTTCAAGGATAGTTATGATATTTTTCACATCAAAGTGGTGTTATCACATCAAATTGCTATCAAATCAAACTGTATGATTCTATGTAAGTTAATAATTTGAACATCTCTTGTACACTTTTAACCTCCTTTCAAACCTTTGGACACAGTTCGACAGACTTTAATCCATTTAACCTCAACAGCAGAAGTTCTTAACACCGCATGAACATTGCACCGTGTAAATTGTTACGGTGATGAGATAGCAATAACAATTTACTGCTTCCATGTCCATTTATGAAGTGAATCACGGATGCAATGGAAGGTAAAATATTGCTCCGAACAAAAGTTTCGAACCAGCCTATGGCTCAGTTCAGGCTTGTCATGTGTCTACCTCTGAATCTGCTATCCAAGTGTCCATGTAATCCATATGACCACACAAATAGTGCGATAGACTACATGAAGTTATGGATGACATGTAAATGTAGAACCCGATTAATAACCAAAAAGTAAACTTTGTTCAAGCTAAATAACCATGAAAAATTTGACAAAAAGCTGATATGGTGCCCTGCATGAGCCATTTTCTCACTTGGCATACAACTTTACCTCATGCTTCTCATCAAGATCTACAAATAGACTGCTCTACCTAGAGCAGAACGATGTGACCAAACAGGAAGCCAGCTTGAAGCTTATTAAAAGTTAGTTTTAAACCTTACAGTTCTCAATGTTGGGAAGTAGCTGTTCTCTGAGCAAAACTCTGTTGAACCAAAACAACATGAACTGGTTAGTTTCCAGATTTGTGAGTTGTCAATGCAAATTTTGAAGCAACAATGTAGCTCTACAAGTTCTTCCTTTTAATAATTTGAGAAAGCTTTAACTCCTTGGGGGTGGAGAAAGAACCTGCTGCGCACGTTGAGCGCATTCCTTATAGATTCTTACTGCCTCGGTACACCCTAAAGGACTCTGCACCCAGAGGATGAGTATGAAAAACTGCTTTCACGGACCAAGAGTAACTTGTTGAATATTAAAGACCAAACCAGAAAAGCAAATTTAATCCTGTGCTTGCTACAGAAAATATTATTAGATGATGAAGGACTTATTAACAAGTCTCGTTCATTGCCCAGTTAGAAATAAACCTAGAAATGTAAAAGCGAATAATGTCCTGTTCGAACCTTTGCAGATTCCCGATAGCACTGTAAACATCTATCCTTCTCGGCCTGGCAAGGTATTGTATACGATGGAGCCCTGAATTCCGTTTCATCATCGGTAAAGAGTCAGATGAGAAGGATACTTGCAATTGGCATTCCACATACTCATTACAAATACACGTCATCTATCCATCATAAATGTACTCATCATAAAACATTATTAGCCAAAGTGTGCATCGAGAATTTGTCATATTTCAATCTACATGGAAACCTCTAAAACACACAATATTGCATCTAGAATAAGAATTTCCAAGAACAATCATCACGCACCGGAATTGCTTGTCTTGCAGTTCTCGAGCAAGTTGTTTTACTTTCTCCAACTCCTCCTTTTCTCGCTTCTGTAGCTTCTCACCCAGGTTTTCCTGTAATGAGCAAGACCTTCAGTATTTAAGAAATTCAAAAGATCAACTGAAGGATGTAACTTGGTCGTTGATAACGAGATAAAGATTACTTACAGATTCTTCGACAACCTTGTAGATAGGGCCAAGGTCGTGGATTTGTTTCTGTGTTTGTTGGTGACCTTGTTCTTTGCTTATTCCAGGCAGAGCCGATAGAAATCCAGGATAAAAGGGCAGTGGGAGATCCTGCTTTGAAACCAACGGAGCCTCTGATGGCTTTACGCTTGGTTTCGGTGCAGGAGCTTTCTTAGCTGGCCTTTTTGGAACAATATTCTCCTTCGCAAGCTTTTGCATAAGATCATTCGTTACCTAGAAAACAAGAAAAATCCATAAGCCTCAAGGCTTAAATATGAACAGACCGCCTTTCGGTTCAGGTTGACAACCTCTAGGGCGTCAAAAGTACAACGACCTAAGAACTCAAGTCATCCTTTGCTTACGGAATTCAGATAACATGAAAGCCCTCTAATCAAGTCCTTTTCCAAATTCTACAAGCTAAGACAAGTAATACTCATAACTGCACTATGATAGAGAATCAATTAACCTGCAAAGAGAAGGCATCATTTGCTGGGGCCATCTCTTCGTGTGAGCTTGCTGATTGAGATCCTGCTCGCGTTGTTAAACCCACAAATATGGTCAGCTGTCAACAAACAAGCTACACGTACTTGAAAAGCAATTCACTCGCAAACTATTTTCAGAATACCCTGCACCGCTCGGTGAGAAAGGAGACCATACTTTAGAACTCAAGTATGCTAACAAAGTAATGCTTGCTGTACCTCGGGATTCCACTTTTGGAGTAAAAATTGAAAAATCATGGGACAGAAAGCTGGACAGTAGAGCTCTGGTATCAAGCAGTCAGAAAGAACCGGACCGTGCAATCTATCTCGACAATACCCAGACCTAGCTCATAGACGTCTACTAACGCAACCGACCCAGACGTCCGGCATGAGTATATGAGGAATCACTATACACCAACACTCCTCCTGCAGTAGAAAGCTTATATAATTTGAATGCTAAAACTATGAGACTTCGAATAAAAATTCCAAAAACAGACCGAATTCTCAGTTGCTCATGTACAAGCACTAAGCGGAACGGCAATTTCGTGATCGACAGGCTCAATAGCGATCATGTCGATGCTCTAAGATACAGTAATATTAGAATGACATGAAATCTCCAAACTGGAACTCTATAAATTCAAGAGCAGCTCAATGGTGCCAAGTATCTTAATGTAAAGTACACCGGGTGCAGGCCACAGTCACTCAGATCACAACACTGTTAAAAAAAATTATAAAAATTAAAACCAAACAAACAAACAAACAAACAAAATACAGCAATCGAGCTCCGCATCCGATACATTGAAGTCTATCAAAGGCGCACCTCTCCCCAGATTCTTCAAAGCTCAAAGCTCCAGCCCGACACGACCCGCGCTCCACCTTCACAGTTACAAATTTGAACTCTGCGAGTTTTAACAACAAATTTCGGGAAGAATATTGAAAAATTCAAGAGAAATGGAGTAAAATTGCGACGGAGAATCGACGGCAAAGCTTTGCCAGGAGCGAGCTGGTGATCGGCGAAGCAAGCGTCCTCTCCGGAGGAAGGACGACGCTGTGGAGTTCGGATTCGAGACGACGACGAGTTCCACTTAGAGTCGTCGGCCCTAAGATGACTAGTATACATTCCACTTGGAATTAGCAGTGATGACGTGGGTTAATCGACGAATGTCGTTCGGGGGTGTCGATTCTGAGAATGGATGACACGCTCCAGACGTTCATCCGTGAGCTGGACGAAGTTCCTTTTCTGGTTTGTTACAAAGAGAGTGCCCCATTCCTATTTCTTCTCGACTCTCAACATTTAATCACTTATTCTTTAATTAGATGATAATCATGTATGAAATTAGAAACGAACCTAGAATTATCATAGTTCGCATATGGGGGAAGTCAAAGAATAAAATCTTAATAAAATTGATCCATAGGTTTTAGTTTAACTTTATATCATCATATTGTGTATGTGATGACATGCCTATATATATATATATATATATATATAATTTTATACAATATAAATTAAATTTTATATTCTAATATTAAACAATGATTTATGAAATAATTACACTAACACATTTATGACATTTAATTTTTTAATATACCTTAGAAATAAGTGGTGTAAGAAATGATTAAGTCTTACTACTTTACAAATTTTTATTCAAAAATTTAGTATCCAAAACATGTTGTTAGTTCAATTAGACCATAAAAACAAGCCCAAGTTTCCAAATCAACTGATATCTGTGGATGTGAATAAAACCGCTAAAACAAGACAACTCAAAATCAAAGTTTGAAGAAAGATTATAAACAAATTGAGAACTAAATTTTATCACGTGATATCATACTATCAATATTTTTTGATACTTTATTGCTAAGTACTTTTAGTAAATATTATATTACTTAATATTAAATATCATCTTGAATTATTTTGAATTATTCATTGATCTAAAATTAAAAAACACAAATATTAGTTTGCTTATGAATCTGTACATATTTTGTAGATAAAGCTCTTGCTTAGTTAATAATGAAAGTATATGAAATTTATTTGATTCGATTAGTATATTATTTTTTCATCTTTAAAGGAAATCTCTTCTATTTATGATATCTTTTCAGTTTTTTAAAGTTACTTGCAACAAAGGAACTCTTTATCAAAAAATATAAATATTTTCTCGGTATTATATGTATATGTATATATATATATATATACACTGAAAGAAATCTTCTTATTATCATTTTAATTTTAATAATAAATTTACTATAATTAAAATTATTTTTTATTTACAAAATATTAAAGTTCTTCTCAAGTTAGCTTAGTTTTTTACTTAAATTCAATGTTGAATCAAAACAAATACTGTAACATTTGATTTTCCTCTGAAAAAACTCACAATCAATATGTAATTTGGACCTAAACCTCTAATTGATGGAAATAGAGTTTTATTGTTAAGTACTAAACATCTTAATTATTTCTTTATGCAAGATCTTAAAATATAAATATATTTTGTAACATTGTTGTGCTACATTGTGTGTGTGTGTGTGTGTGCGCTTTTCTTTTTTCTTTTTTCTCTCTCACTTATTTCTTTTAAAGTATGTTACTCATCTTTAATGTTCACTGTATCTTATGATGTAAAGAAATTAGATAAACCTTTCAATACTTCATGTGTAGTTTTAAATGACTGTGCATGTGATACTACATTATTTTTAAGACAATTGTTTTTAATGATTCAAAATATAAAGTCTTTGTTATTCTTATTACTTACACTTGATTTCAGTAACAAGAAAATTTAGAATTTTGTGACTAAGCTGAAATTAGTGAAAAAAGTAAGGATTTAATATTATTTACTAAGATCTACAATTTAATTTCATTTTTTTTTAACTTCCTATAAATTTGTGTATACATAAAGTATAAGAAAAATAAAAATTAATTTTTTTAAAATTAAATTAAATTAAATTGAACATGATCGATATCTACCTTCTAAACATTTTTAATATCTTGTAATTATAGAGGTAGAAATTCAACTTTCTGCTTCTTAGTAAAACTTCTTAACATCTACATAAGTACCCTATACACAAGATTCAATATGCAATTTGACATCTTTACTAGCTTTTTTAATGCCATAACTAAAACAAAAAATTCTTGATGAAGCAACTAATAATGCTTTTAAAAACTGAGATGAAATTTTTGAATGAACTTCTTGAAAAAATATTTTTATAACCTTATACAAACTATGATACATTCTTTGGAGATTAAATAAAAAATTAAGAATAATCAAATATAAAATAAAATATATGAATCGTTTCTAAAAAAACAGATTCAAAATAAGCTTAGATTTCATGTGAAAATTATAGATGGAAATGATAAAAAAAAATATGCATTTTATCGATAAGGAATAATAATTTACAAAGCTATATATACTACAGTCACAACTCTTGACAGTATAGTCCCAACTTTCATTATTATTTTTATTATTAATTCTACTACTACTACTCTGATTTATGCTTTACTACTGTATCTTGCAAGTGTAAGACCTGGTTTTTCATTCATCTCGCTGTGCACCTGCTCATGATAATATTGCAGACATTGGCACTTGCCGAAACTCATTTACAAGGACAATAATTCGCTTAGTGTTATGGAATATTCACACAAACACTTCAACACGAATGCATCACTGTATTTTTCGTGAGGTGAAAAAATTGTCTCTACTGCAATCCTGTCCTGGTTTATTTGATTTATGATCCATATGTAGACTTTTACTGTGTTTGAAGTTGAATTGGAGGATTCTCATTCACAGTTTATAGAGTTTTAAAGAGTTTTTTCCCAACTTTTGTGTTGCGAATGTATATCATTTCCTTCATTTTTAGCATCCGTTGCACAGTCAACTGTGACTGCAAATTTTCATGTGTATTTATTATATAATCTGGACTTGCGTTGTATTGCATTTTAGCACCATGGTGACATGACGACGTGGGCATCCTACCATGTGCGTCAATGAACTCATTATTTCCTTCCTTGCATCATTTGCAATGTCTAGCATCAGAACACTGATCTTCTCATGCAAGATAACTTTATCATGGTCTACTGCGGCATAGTTGCATCATAGTCTTACCGTGTAATGAAACCAGAGCCGATCAGGGCACGATTAGGTCGAGGTTTACGAGCGCCCGAGCGAACAATGCCAGGAAGAACCTTACCCCTTTCACATGTGGTATCTCTTAGAACGTTACTCGGATGCGTTTGTAGATTCTATGCCATCTCCATGTGCTAAGTTGTAGAAATGGGCGGCGGCCTTGAATCTGCGGCCCCTATCCAACCATGTCTGCACAGGTCGAGGCTCTAGGGTAGACCACAACGGAAGGTCACAGTCTTTACCGTGACTATGAAGAGAGCACTTTCTACACCAACAGCATTCTTCGGGAAACACAATAAGATAGCTTCATTTTGTTTCAGCGCTTGTGGGTTTGGCTCACTCCCCTCCGGTACAGGTTGATCTGGTAACGCTCTCTACCAGAGAAACAAGTTGAGTCTCAAGTAAGCCGCTACAAGCGTTGCTCAGCCTACTTGGTATCAGGAAGGTGGCGAGACCAACCAAGCTGCAGGTTTGTAATTTACGGCATTGGACTGCTGGGGATCAGTCGTGAGAGCTGTCTGCGATGGGCTAGACGTCAACATTAAATCCAACAGCCACGTTCGCAGCAAACTCTTATTGCCCCTGATTGCTAGCTGTAGATGCACCCATGTTAATCCGGATCACTGAAAACAAGCCCAAATAATAATGATCTGCTAATACTGCAGAACTGCATCGACAATCTGAGCACGAGGATTGTCAATTATAGAGATGTTAGACACAGTACCGGTGTGCATACACTGATTAGTTCTCCAGATTTTCTGAAAGACAGGATGCTTTAAACTTTATGGAGGAGTCACAATGTCAGTAGTGATTACTGCGGCATTCGGTAGTCTGTAGCTTCCGCAAGCAATTCGTTCTTCTTGACGAAATGCTGGAGCTGTTACTTAAGTTTTACACTCTGTTACCCCAGTTCTCTTCGGATCCTCATCTGGCAGATGAGTCTTTCGGCTTTTCAATGGCGGATCTCGCATGTTAACGGGTTTGTGTCTTGAGTGATGAAATCCAGCGCGGGCAGAGCACAAATTCTAAGACGACCTACGGACAGGGCGTAGTGATCAACGAAGGAGTCTCTGACAAGGTCACGGTCTGAGCTGCACGCAGACAAGCTCGAGCAGCAGGATGGTGAGCATGGCAATCTCATCTCAGAACCTCGCCGCATGATCAAACCAGTGACATCGACACACTTGAGAACCATGAAACATTCGCGTCCGTGGCTTGATGCCATGCTTAGAAGACAAATCGTGGCCAACAAGGTGCAGATTTTTGCGCATTCACCTTGAGCTCGTGAATCGCTTCTACATCTGTCCTTCATTCTGCTGCGAATAGTCGAGTCTTGTCATCTAAGGTGTAGAATACATGTTTATCAGAAGCTGCAGCTCTTCACGGACTTGAAATGCGCAGTTGAGAATCACTGAACTGGCCTCGGGGAGTGGTGACCTGGACGAGGGCAACCTTCAGTGACTCTCCAATCTAATTGCGACTCTGCCGATAAGACCCAAGGCTTTCTATGATAAGCATAAACCTGAACCGCAGGTCTGCAAAATCTCAAGCCCAGTCAGCGTCACACAGGAATCTGGTGACTGCTTCTTGACAGCGGATCATTCAAGACGTAAGAAGCGTGCTTTACGTATTTGGCGAGACTTTCTCGCCGCAATTATTCTGAGAGGAAGGGGTCATTTCCCAGCTGACT